CTCTCTCCTCCTTTGACTAGTTTTATTGATTGATTGATTGATTGATTGATTTATATCCTGCCTTTTTCCTACAAAGGCTCAAGGCAGCTTACATCATTCTCCTCCTCCATCTTATCCCCACAACAACAACCCTGTGAGGTAGGTTGGGCTGAGAGTCTGTGACTGGCCCAAAGTCACCCAGTTGGCTTCATGGCTGAGCGGGGACTAGAACCCAGATCATCTGAGTCCCAGTCCCATGCTCTTAACCACTACACCACACTGGCTCTCTCAGTTTCAAGTTGAGTATTAAAGAAAGGCAATAAATTGTAATTTTCTTAGCACATAATTACTTTCTACTTGTCAAATTTCCATGGTGCAAGGGGTGTGACAGTAAAGGAGTAGGAAACTAAGCTGTGAAATGTAAACACCAGGCCACTGCAGAAATATGGGGTGAAGGTAAACTGCCTGGATTTCTCCTGCAAGAACAAACAGCCTTTCGCTCCTGTGAGTGCCAGAGAAGGAAGACATTTGTACATGTAGCAACACACCATCACTATTCACCAAATCTCCTTATCTTTTCTTGTGCAATTTAACACAGTCTCCTTCACATCCTCCTCAGAAAATCAAACCTTGCTGGCTGGGTGTGGAGGCCTGTAGGCCATCACAATTCCATCTCTTAGTTTGATACAGGAAATCCAGAACTAGAATTTCTACATCCCTACCTCTGAATGTGAGGCAGGTACCACTGTTGTGCTTCTGGTGCCTCTCAAAACATCTTCATTTCTTGAGGTCTTTTTGGATACCCAACCACTGTTTCTATGTTTTAATACAGTGTTTTATTCTTTCACTTTTTAATCTATTTATTCTGTTAAGTTGTTGTACACCACCACTGGCTGTCCAGCAGATGAGTGAAAGTCAATAATAAGTGAACAATTTATCACAGATCTTCAGATTTCATGACACTCTTACAGCCTAGACCTATGCTGTCTTCTATACGGTCACAGACCACAAGGCTGAGCAGTGGGAATGGGCAATTGTCTCTTGTACCAAGAAAGCAGCAACTTTCTGTCCTGGTGCATCAGATGCGGTAGAAAGTCACAAGATGCTTTGCAAGAGGACAGAAAAAGAGGAGAAGTCGTTCATGACAGGCTGTGGGTATGGCTGCAACCTTGTTCCCCCCAACTGCATTGGTGTGGATTCTTACAGCCTTCCTCAGTTGTGTGCCCCCAAAAATGTGTTTGCCCACTTCTTTCATTATTCTCACTTGGGGATGATGGAAATTGTAGACAAAGCATCTGGAGGGTACCAGGTTGGAGAAGACAGGGCTGTTATGACTTACTTTCCTGCCCTTACTTTCCTGCAATAGAATACCAACAGGAGGTTGAGGGAGGTCTGTGTATTGGTATGAAAGCGAATTGGAGGTGTCAGTTTGTGTATGTGAAAATGTTTAAAGATTGGCTTCAAACGTACCTGTCACTCTAGGTTCTCTCGATGGTCATCCCACTTTCCCCCAGAAACTCACCATTTGTTAGTTTCCCAGCCTTTGTGCAGTTTTTCTCCATTCAGAAAGGCTGACATGCTTTTTCTAAGGAATTTAAGCTGAAGGAGTTTAAGCCATGCTATGCTGGTATTTTTAGGCCGCATTGCTTTTCTGAAATTGAACTGAAAAAAGGTTTTCTACCCTTAGACAGAGAAATCCAAGCACACATTTAACATATCATCTTGTTTAGCCATATATAAATAAATCACACGAGTATAAGTAGACAAAATTATTCTTTTCTCTATAATTATAAAGATATTGGAAATATCTTTATTATAAAGAAATAAATATATATTATTATCTTTGGATAATATATAGAGTCAATGTATTTGGATGTCTATCATTGTAGAGTCCGATGTATTTAGACATCAATGTATTTGGATGGAATGTGCAAACTAACACATTCTATCCCCTTTTTGAATGAGGGATATGAAGAGCTGCCTGATCCAGGGATGGGGGCAACTTGTGTTTTGGCCTACATCTTCCATCAGACCCACAGGCGTAACCCATGGAATGATGAAAGCCTTAGGCCAAAGCATCTGGAAGGACACAAAGTTGCCCACCCCAAAGCTAAATGATGCAACTGGATAAAGCATATTTTTAAAGGTCCAGAAGATTGAAAGGTGATGAGGGAGAGATTGGGGCAATATATATTCCAGTCAGGGACACCTGACATCTCATCTTTCCTAGGCAAAACAAAACTTAGCACACCCAATAATGTAAATTATGTGTGCGTGCACAAATTCACAAGTTATATTCTTACATTACTTCTTTTGTAGGCATCCCTCATGTTGTACACATTCCATTCTATTATAGTGCCTTCTGATTCCTAAAATGGCATCAAAATTTATTCAAGTGTCTCAGGCCTGTGCTATATTGCATTTGTACCTATTCTAATCATGATAAAGGCAGTGAAAAATAAGTGTTTCGAGGAGGAGAATACTTTAATAACTGAAGAAAATGAATGCATATGTTTTATGTATGAATCTTCTTGTCTGCAATATCGTGTGGGGTGGGCAGATGGGGAATAGGAAAGAATATTTGGATCTGGTGAAACATAGAAACTGAGTGAGTCAGAAGGGGTCTCCTGGGCCATCTAGTCTGACCCTCTGCTCCTGCCAGCTCTTTTCATGACAACGGTGGGCAATGGTGATGCACAGTGGCTCCAAGAGAAACTTTTGTGAACTCTGAAGCCTGCTTCTGTGGACATCTTGCCTGTCTTTTGTTTAGATATGTACACAGGGACATGGTGCTTCTCTGTCAAGAAGCCTGTGCTTGCCTTCTGGATAGCTTCACTGGTGTCCCTGGTGTGGGATGGACTGTCATATGCTAAACTCATAGGGCAAGGATCAGTTTGGAGCATGGGTGGGCAGAAGATAGATTTCCAGATGTTTTCGCCTTCAGCTCCCAGAAGCCCCTCCCATGGTCAGTGTTCCCAATATCTGGAGATCTGTCCACCTGTGGTTAGAATACAAACATCTTTCTGAACTGAGGTTTGGTAAAAGATGCTTTGATTATTCCAGAGAAGAAGGTGTTTGGTTCAAACTAATTGGTCATCTATTCTGGAAGTTGCCTTTCAGAAGCCAGTGTTAACACTCCACCCTAAAGTAAAAGTATCCTTTTTAATTACTTGTCATAGACCAGAAGAACACTTTAGGGAAGGGAATCTTACAGCTGGACCATAAACATGCTTATAGAATACATTCTGCAGGGTTCTGTGGAACTTAATATGAAGTACATATGCATTGGATTTCAGCCTTATACATAGAAGCTCAAAGCCCTCCTTGATCAAGAAGAGAGTGCCAGGTTTTATAGATTTCTCCAGACCCAGGCTGTGAGTAAGCAAGAAGATAAAAGAATCATGTCTTGCTGCTTCTTTATTATGTCCCATTGCTGATTAAGAAGGACAATTCTACTCAGCTGGGCTTAGAAGAAAACTGATCATTGACCTTGCCATTTCGATGGTACTGAAACGCTACACCTAGGCAGCATTGCTCTTTCATTCATCCCTCTTCCATATAGAGATACTGTTTATAGCCTGTGGGTGCAGTCCTTGCTTAACCACTTTTCCCTGGTATATCAGGAATGCTGGCTTTGGGCTCTTCCATAAATTGAGATGCAAAGGAATGGTTTCTCCAAATTTCTCAAGGATTATTTTAAGGTCAGACCCAACATGATCCTTCCCTTTTAAGATCATAAAACACTGAGCATGTGGCTAGTTCTACTCCAGCTCCCCTTCCACAGGGACCAGCTTTGCTCCTGCTACGCTTCACCTGCCTGATTATCCTACCCATCGGATTGCTAGTTGGGTGTGGCTGACCTGTTCTCTGTCTTCCCTCTTTTTCCGCGTGAGGATCCTCCGGAGAGGAGATCTCTTCTGATAACCCGCCTGCAATGCCACCACCCAGGCACCAGATAGGTAGTATTTTCCTTCCATTTCCAGATGCATGCATGCAAGAAAGGAAAAATCAAGATTGGATGGGTACAAACGGTCCTGCATGCTTTATTCACCTCCAATCATTCCCAAAAGTGGGGTGGGGAAATCTTAGATCTTCTTGTCTGTGTGATTTTTTAAAAAATCTAGAAATTCCTAAGTCTTGGAGACTGGTGGGAATACAAAGGTATGTATATTTAACCCAATGGAGATGGGGATTGTTTAAACATCTTACATGCCTCACATGCATAGACAGTATGCCTTGCTTACAGCCAAAATAAATGTCTTAATCCTTGATTTACGTTGAAGATATTGATCCTGCTCAACAAAATGTCAACCAGAGGCATCTTACAAGGGCAACTTATAAGCACTTGCTGGGCTGATGAATAACAACTGATCACAGCTGAAAACTAATGCATATAAATAAACAAATGAATAAACAATGTCATGCATTTTCTTCTGCATAATATTTGAATAACAACAACAACAGTAATGGAGAAGGAGATTTTGTTTAGTTCTTTTTTGAATGATAGGGAAAGAACAAATTGAGACAAAGGCATAAAACAAGGAAATTGTGAGCAAAACTGGATGTTGGTATAATGAAATTGCAATTATAATGAGAGAGAGAGAGAAGAAAAGGCATCAGTTATACAAACATTCTGCATGAATAGAGAGATCAATAAAATTTGAGCACAGCAAAGCCAGAAATAAGTAGATCTGGATTGGAAAAGAAGCTGAAAATATCAAAAGTCACCCCCCCACACACACACAAGAGGGTTTTGTAATCTCAGGGAAACCCCAGCACTGAAACATTCTGAATGCATGCAAACATAATCAGTGCTTATTTAGCTACATGATCCAAAACTATGCTTTTACAAACTGGGAAAAATAGCTGGAAATTAGAGTAGGCAGGCTTGTACATACTAGTTATGATGCTAGAGGAAAAAGACACAATTTCTTCTATGATCCCTGATAAGCAAATGCTCCAGCAACTAACTGATGCAATCTCTGTGTTCCTTTCTGCCTTCCCTCCTGCCTCCTTTACAGGTGACGGTGTGCTGGATGGAAGAGCCAACTGGGAATAACAAGAAGTCGCTCTCTTCCCAGGCCGAGCATGCGGGCATTCGGACTTACTTCTTCAGTGCTGAGAACAGCGAGGAGCAGGAGTCCTGGATTCAAGCCATGGGCGAGGCGGCACGGGTGCAAATCCCACCAACTCAGAGGTCAGTTCTTCGGTGGGAATGTAGACATGGGATGTATCACAGAACTGTGGGTCATCATCTGGGAGGTGCAAATTGGTATAGTCTGTGGCTTTTTTGAGCATGGGAGCAGACTGGAACTTGTTGTTTCCTTTGGACTGAGATAAAATCAAGCAGGCTGTGGTAAGAAGGGGTGGTCACTCCCTAGTTATTCTGGAAATTAGATGTGGAAATCAGGCTTCTGCTTTGTCACAGAGTATTTCCATCTGTCCACTGGCATAATGTTTTATATGAAATCTTTGGAATGGGTGTTCAACCTCAGGCCCAGTAGACCCCCAGAATGCCAGGACCCTTCCAGTAGCCATACCCACTTCCCCCAACATCTGGTGGTTTGGTGGTTCCCAGCTTTTGCATGGTTCCCCTCTCTCACACACACCCTACTAAACAATTGAAATACCTTTCCTAAGGCTTTGTGACTGGCAGAAAGAGCTTGAAATTAAAATACGTTGGGTGGGTGGTTTTCCGTTTTCTTTTTTGTAGGTTGGCCCAACCCTCTTCGCCTCCAGCCTCAGGCTCCTCTGGAATGTTGCCCAGAGAGTGTCTGTGAAGTGTTAGGAGGTCCTCGGTGTGAAATAGGTTCAACTCCCCTGCCTTATATACTTTGAGGCCAAATTATTATTTAAAATAATGGTCCAGGATCTCACAGAGCAGTTTTGAAGCTACCTAAAACAGGTGTTCTTCAAAAGGCTATAATAAATGTCCTTTCAGTGAGATGTGAGGAAACATAGTTTGGAGGCCTTTAAATGACTGGAAAATGATGGCTTATTGGGAGGGTGTAATGGCCAGTGATTCAAGTGACTTCCCCCAACCTGGTGCCCTCCAAGTGCTCTGGATTGCAATTTCCATCCTTCCCAGCCAGAAGTCCAACACATCTGGAGGACAATAGATCAGAAAAAACTGATTTAAGAGGTCTTAGCAGACCCACAAGGTCAGCAGTTGTGCTTGTAAGAGACTGACCAGAATGCACAGTTGTCCAGAAAGTGTTCTGTGGTGTGTGCTAAAACAGGACCTGGTCTACTCATGACCTTTTCTATTTCTCTGCTATCCTCAGGCACGAGAAGACTGATTCCGAGAACATTCCTCCAGGCAAGAACCAGCAACATCACCACCTCCGCAGTGTTCCAGCCAAGGAGACCGTGAAAGCAGAGCCAGAAGCAAAGACTAGAGGAGAAGGTGATGGGCGCGGCTCTGAGAAGATTGAACGGAAACCTGAGCGAGGCGAGAGCAAGAAGGAGCCACTGGTGAAGGCCAATGGCGTTGTGAGCCAAGAAATGCCCTCTGAACCAGGAAGCCCTTATCCTGAAGCCTCTCATGTGCCAGCTGGGGTAGAGAGAGCCACTCAGCCAAATGGCTGGCAATACCCATCTCCCAGCAGGCCTGGCAGCATGGCATTCCCGCAACATGATGGCGAGACTGCTGTGCCTCGTCGGAGCTTTGCCCCTCGCACCAATCCTGAGAAGATGGCCCAGAGAAAGAGCTCCATGACACAACTGCAGCAGTGGGTGAACCTGCGCCGTGGGGCTCTGCCTCCTGAAGATCTCCACAGGTGAGGAAGTTGAACACTTGGCTATAGCTTCTCTAAGGGTTTAAATACAAGAGGATGGTAAGGAATTCCACCAAAGAGGAAGAGACAGATAACTGCAGGCTAGTTTTAGGGGAGGAATAGGCAGCCATCTGGGCCCACAAATTCATTTAGAAAATCTGAGGAAATCTCCTGGAAGCAACCATTAAATGGCTGCTGTGGTGGGTATGGCTACTCATCCTGTACAAATAACCACCCAGAGACACTCATGGGAAATTAAGGCGGCAGCAACAGGGTCCCACTTTGATGCAGTCTTGGCTGTTGCAAAGATTTATTATTACTATTATTATTATTATTATTATTAAAAATTGGGAAGGGTAGGATGTCTCAGTAGGCATCAGGAAGGTGTCTGGGAGCACATCAGTGCCCAGACTGTGAAACTCCTTTTAGCCCTCATTAATAATAGTAATAATTCAAAATACCAGCAAACATTTTATTTGGTGAAGAAAATATCATACCATGTCTCTATCAGAACCATTGATATGTAGGGTTGGAGGACAGAAGGTAGCACTAAGACCAGTTAAAGACTACAATCCATACTAGGCTTACGCTGCCTGTGGATTTTGATACAGGAGCAGGAATGAGTAGTGTGTTCCACCAATGTCCAGCTGGTACTAGTAGGAGGTAAAAGCACTGGGCAAAATGAACCAGAACCATCTCTGAGAAATTTAGGATTTACATTTCTCCTTCTCCTTTTCTTTGGGGTTCCAGCCCCACCAGGTTCTACCCAGTGTCCCGAAGAGTCCCTGACTACTATCCCCACTACTCCCCGCAGTACTCTGAGGACTACCAATACTATCCTCCAGGTGTGCGTCCGGACAGCATCTGCTCCATGCCTGCATATGAGCGGGTGAGTCCTCAGTGGGCTGTGGACGACAAGCGGCATTCCTTCCGCAACAGCGGCTCCTACCAACTGCGGGAGTGGAAGGAGCAGCCTGGCTATGCCAGACCGGAGGTCCCTGTTTGGATCCCAGGACCCACCCGGCAGCCAGTGTACTACGATGAAATGGATGCCGCTTCCGGCTCCCTGCGCAGGATGTCACTCCAGCCTCGCTCCCGGTCAGTCCCCCGTTCACCAAGCCAAGGTTCCTACAACAGAGCCAGAATGTACTCCCCTGTCAGGTCACCGAGCGCCCGCTTCGAACGAGTGCCTCCGCGGAGCGAGGAGATATATGCCGAGCCGACAGCGTACATGATGAGGCGATCGGTCAGCTCGCCAAAGGTAACCCTTCACTGCAGCTCCACCCCTTCCTTCAATGCTTCTTGCTGCTCTTCAGGAGAAAGCCAGTGGGATGCCATAGCTGCAGATGGGGGAATTCCAGTGACCTAATCAGTATGTGTGTGTGTGTGTGTGCGCGTGCATGCACGCACACACTGCATGTAGTGACTAAGGGACACTGATCCAGATGAATAACTGCAGGCGAGGGAAAATGCTTTAGGCCAGCACTCACCATTGTGGTGTCTGCTGGATGTTTCAGACTACAACTCTCAGCATTCACAACCATTGCCCATGCTGGCTGGAGGTTATGGGAGTTGCATTCCAAAACATCTGGAGAATACCACCTGGTTTGGGAGAATGCACTACAACATGCTGGAGTTGGGTTGACTAACTGGTCCAAGAGAGGCAGTTATGAGCTACAACAGGGTGGACACTTTATGGCTCTCCAGATGTTTTGGTTACAATTCCCATGGTTCCCCATTATTGGCTAGGATGGCTAGGACTTGGGAGTTGTAGACCAAAATATCTGGAGGGCTGCAAAGTGCCTACCCATGGCTAGAATAAGAGAAAATAATGCGGGGTGGAGCAAAAGTTCCTTTCATTTTAAAATGGTTTATATTTAAGGAGTTCTTACAATTTTATGCAGAGTGTTCCTGATGTATAGGGTAAGCCACCTTGGAAGACCATGGTCTTGAAAAAGAGCAAAGAAATATATGAAATAAATAAATAAATTTCAAAAATGGGGCTTAGACCAGCACTTAAGTCAGATAAATCAGGGATCGGACTGTTCACTCAGAACTAAAGAAATGTCAGTCTGCACTTGATGAAACATAGACGATTTTCTATGCCCCAGGAATTGAAATGAAGGGAAATAGTCAATGCATCTCTCTCAAATTCACCACAAAGTTAAAGGGATGCATAGATCTCAAGAGGAGTACAGGGGATGCATGTAAAAATTGCATGGAACTGGCATGTTAGCTGTGCAGGAAGCATGGCATTTCCTGGGGTTGCTGGCATGAAACTTTAAAACATTAGAGTGGGTCTGTAATGAGCATGATCTATAGAGCAATATTAGAAGTTATCAGGAGAACTGAGAGCAGAGGCAACCCAGGAAGTGAGTGGCATTAAAGCTTGCAAGGGCAAGACCCTGCGGGTATCTTATCACAGGTATGCAGAACCTCAGGCCAGGGGGCCAGGTCTGGCCTTCTGATCTTTCCCCAGGGTCTACACCCCAGGATCATATCCTGACTTTTGTGGTGTTCCCTCTTCCCATTCCCCTATTACCTAAGGCTTAGCTACCAGCAGTAAGAGATTTCAGCTACAATATGCTGGTATTGGGAGGGGGGTGTTTTTTGGTATTTTGGCCCCACCCCTTTCACATTCCAATTCTGAAATGTGGTCTCTGAGAGCTTTTCCAAACTGAATCTGGCCCTCGAGGTGAAAGAGGTTCTGCACACCTGACCTAGTAGAAATATGCTTAGTTTCAGCTTGTAGGACCAACCCATCTTTCTCAAGAGCATCTTTGTCATGTATCCAGGCTGGAACCCCTTGATCTCCTGTAACTGACTCATCCATCACTACTTTATTGAATGATTTCTGGGCAATTCCTTTACATGTTGTTTCCATTGGTTTGTTGTTAGTCATGTTCTGTATAATAGCAAAAGTACATGGGAGCTGCATTCACCTGGTGATCTAACCATTTCATGCCTATGGTTTCTTCTCTTTCCTCAGTATGATTACCTGGGTGATAGGAGGCCTGTCCCCGCAGGAATGTTCCCTTTCAACTATCCAGCATCCCCTACAGTCCACGACAAAATGGTATGTCCCACTGGCATCCCAGCATTCCAGTAGAGCTCTGTATGTTTCCTTCCCAAGGCTGAGATTTAATTTAGTGATGGGATAAAGGAGGTTATAATGAGAAGGACAGTTGCATACTGAGCACTGCAGAACTGCCTTGTTGCAATAAGATTCTCTAGCATGTTTAATCAAGTGGTATATGTTGGCTATAGGAGTCCAGCCTGGATAGTTAATGAACTGTAATGATACGAATTCACAATTTTTATTATGAGCTTGTTCTGTTGAAAGGGGTTGATTAAATAGAGGGAACTGATTAAATAGATGCTGTCTGGGCTAAGAGAAAGGAGGAGGAACTAAGTCTGTGCTTTACAGGGAAGGAAAAGCAGCTCTGTTTATACCCCCAGTCCCATTTGTATATTCAGTGTTGGGCTAAGGGGTCAGTACTTCAGGGGCATCCAGAAGGAGTAGCATGTGTGCAGAAGGTGGTATGAAATGGGACCCCCCTGGGACTCAGTTACATAGTTGTTTGAGTTTTCTCCCTCAAAGAAAGTGGAAGAACTACAGCCAGGACCTGCAGTCCACTCTGCGGTTTGTCCGTGTGATCATGAGGAAGATTCCACTGGGGCTCATCTATCAGGCTAGTGCAGAATATGAACTGTGGGGTGCCTGTTGTTACAGACCTAAGGCAGACATTTCCCTTTAGTTCAGCATTTGTCCTTCCGTGTAGGTTGAACCCTAAATAAAGCGCCATTTTGTTCTCCCTACCCCAGAGATGGACCACTTGGTGGACTTCAGGTGTTATTGGACTGCAACTCTCATCAGCCCTAGCCAGCAGAACCAATTGGGAGCAATGATGGGAGCTGCAGTCCAGCAACCTCTGAAGATCCTTATCTGCTCCTGCCCTAAGCCAACTTTCCCCAGTCTGCTGCCTCTAGATGTGTTGGACAACCATGCCCATAACTCTCAACCAGCATGGCTATCTCCTGCCCTGAACAAATACTTATGGAAAAGGTTTGTTTGGCAGCAAGTGACTTTTATCTCCAGCAGAGCTTTGCCAACCAAAGGACACCCTTGGACACTTGACTGTCCAACAAGAAGAAAAGGGGGAAAGTCAAAACTGGAGGACTGTTTCTACTGCCAGACTTTGTAACCTCCTAGCACAGTTCTAGAATACTGGAGTGCGATTAAAAGAATCAGGGGGGCAACGGGTGAGATTGGAAAGAACATGTATAGAAACATCTATCATTGGCTGTAGTTTCTTCCTTTGCTGTTTCTGCTCACTCGTTCTACTTCTCTCTTTGTTTGGTTATTTCACTGCGGGGGAGCATCCGTGTGGTGGGGGCAGAAACCACAGGGAGTGGGAATCTGCCCAGTGAAACGGCCAACTTCATTTGCTCCATGCCAAGGTCCTTGACCCTGCCTGACACCTTTCTCCTGTGAGAGCCACCAGTCAAACCTGGACTGGATTAAGGTGCCCTGTGGAACAGACTCTAGTTGCACGCTTGTTGCACGCAGCTTATTCCCTCACGCCCCCTGCCTCCTCACCAGCTATGCACAAAAGCAGATGCATGTGGCTGAACGAAGAGTGCAATGAGATGATCCTGGTATTGCTGAACAGGTCGGGAAAACCTCTCTAATAAACGGTGCTCTGTCCCCAATCTCCAATGGCTTGTGGGGACGGGCGATGGATGACAGCAAGAGACGTGAAAAGAAGGAGCAGGATACGCTGCTTTTAAAGAGGTGCATTAGGAACTGGATCCATGCAGACACAGAAGAGTCCTGTTGCATGTTTAGAAAGGGGTACATTCTTTCCAGAATACATCAAAATCATTTCTGAACCTGCTGGAAACCCATTAACCTGGACTAAAAGTGTGCTGTTAAAATTTGCACAGGATTTCCAACCTGCCTACTAGTAGGTAAGGAAACTTCCCAGAAACTTTAGCTTTAGGAAGAGCCCTTTCATACGGCATTCTTCCACCTCTACTGACACCTTCCTTGACTGGTGATGTCCTAGCAAAGCAATAGTGAGCTTACTACCTTGCCTGTTATATTGGCTTTGAGGAGTTCCCTGTTTCTTTAGGGACCACCATTGTCTAGGTAGAGAACAAGTAAGGCTCAATTTGCTTGACCAAACTGATATACTGGGAATGTGGGGCTGAGATGATTCATGCGGAGTTTACCATGTGCAGAAAAGACTGTGTGAGTGGTTCTGGACACTGCCAGCTTTGAGCACAGCCTGTTTTTACTGCACTGTGTTTGCTATGAAACAAGTGAAAGTGGAATGAGCAGTAGATGGACAATATGGGTAGAACCGATTGAACAATGACTGCTACCCTTGCAGGACTGATGTTCTCAAAATGACAGTCTAGTTATGCGTATAAAGGCAGCAGAACCCACTCACCCATGAAAACTTGGGCTCCCCCAAATAAGCATCCCAAGTATTGGCCAGGTTGGCTTCCCAAGGGAGAAATCCAGAATTGCTGGTGGATGGCCCACCTGTTGATGATATTAAGGTGTGGGAGAACATCCACCTCTGGACCAGATCCAGTTCCCCACCCCTTCCATAAGGGTGGCATTTAGTTGAGGAACCAGGACAAGGTGTGGGGGAGCTCTTGAGTGCCCCTTTCCTTGGTAGACAGGCAGGGTACCCAGTGAATAACCAAATAAATGCTGTCCAGTCCTAGGCTCTCCAGGCATTGCAGCCTGCAGAGAAAAAGCATAGAATCGCCATCTCTAGGGAGGCATTCCTTGATAGCACAGTCGCACTCAGCAGCAGGAGCTGATTAACAGTTCCTGGAGCTCTGCACCACACATAAATCTCACGGCAGTGCTTCATGGGCACCATTACCGGCGACTACATTTCAACCACATGGGGATTCATAAATTGGCATTCATTTTGCTTACAGGGGTGGGGAGCATTAACATTTCCACCGGCCCATTAAAGCATTTGGTATTCCTCTCCCCTCCCATAAAATGGAATGACTTGGAGGAGGGCAGCATAGCCCTCCTGCTAATCCGTCCCTGCCCAGCAGGAGAAGATGCAAAGCTTGGGGACAGAGCACCAACTCTGTGGGGAGCTACCAGGATCTCTCATGCAGAGCCCCTCTAGGGAATGTAAAATATATGTCCTGATCTTAAAGGACTGCTGCGCAACCCCCACCCACATCCTTTTAAAATGCTTGTGAGGCTGAATGTCCCCTATCCTCTTTGGGGGAGCTCTTTGCCTGTCTCTAGCTCAAGTTGCACCTAACTGCTTTTGCTTCTTCTTTGTGTTTGTTTGTTGTTTTGTGTTTCCATTTTGCTGCATGCCTAATGGCTCCCGATAGGATGAACTGTTAGACCTTCAGTTGCAAAGAAACCTAGAGTATTTGGACCAGCAGGTAGGCCGAGGCAGCTGTGTTCCTCTCACGACTCCCAGTATACCCTGCCGCTCCTGCCCCCACCCCCAGCCCTGCTGTCAGGTGTCGGTGTCATTGTCTTCCCTCCCTCTTGCTCCATCCCTCTCTCCCCACCATCGTGTCTGTTCCTGTTCTTGGCGTTGAGGCAGCACTAGCGCTCTTTGGTTTGTTTTGTTGATGCTTCCCATTGTTGGCAACACTTCTGTATTTGGTGGGTGGGGAGGGGATGCGCCACTTGTCTGGAAATGTGTGGATTTTGCAGCACCAGAAAATTGTGGAGGTTTTCATCCCATCTGCTCCTTGTTGCATAAAATTCAACCCAGCTCTTCTGCATGTAAGGATGGTTTAGGGAAGGACTTTTCAGCCATTCAGCTCTCCATGTGGATAAGCCAACAAAAGGACCTTTGAGTGACCCCTGGGTGGCAACTCATTTTAAATGGGAGCTATGCCCCAGTTCTTGCTGGGGTGTGCCCAGCAGGGCGCTCTTCAGACCAGCATTTGGCACTCAGTCCAAACCAGAACCCAGCAGTTCCATGCAATGGCTGGTGTTTCAACAACCCCCCGATACCTGCCTCGGCCCCACCAGCCCTGGCACTTGCTTCTTTATCCATTTCCACAGCTGCAGCCTTGTCTGAGGCCATTGGCTGGCTCTGGGAAGGTGCTCATCATGTCAGATTTCCCACAATACTCTGGAGCAGCCAAGTAGCAGGAGTGCAAAACATCAGGACTAGGGGCCAAATTTGGCCCTCTAAGGGTCTCCATCTGGTCCTCTGGAATTCCCCAGATGGCTAGCCTTACTTCCCGCCCCCAATTCCTTTGCTTCAGCCACTGATTGTTTGGATTTTTCCAGGCTTTTTGCATTTTTCTCTATTCCCCATATATCTCCTAAGCCTTTCTAAGCCTTCGCTACTAGTAATAAGTCTTTTAAGCTAAAATATGCCACTATTAAGGGGGAGCGAGTGTTGCGTCATTCTTAGTGCCTTCAGAATGTGGTCAAGAACTTCCGGAATTCTGTCCTTAAGAGGTGACAGAAAGAGGTTCTGCACCCCAGCTCCAGGGCATTGTGGGGAATTTAAAATGGCAGCTGGCTTCCCAGGTTCAGCTGCTGTCACCAGGGGGGCCTTCACTTGTTTCCTACCCCACTCAAACCTGGAGCTTGACACACCTTAGTCTTTATTTCCCCAGGTGTGGAGAGTTCTTCCCTCATGCACCGCAGTGGCTACATTTTGTGTGTCTGTTTCTAAGGCCTGGTTTAGGTATTTTAAGTGCTCCAGCTCTTCATGGACTGCTGCATTTCAGGCTGCTTGTGTGGCAGTGGCACATCCGCTATGATCAAAACTCTCTGCACATGACATCCACGTGACATGACATCCAGTCAAGAAGAGCTGGCTTAAGCCCTTTTCCCTGTTGTTCCACCTGTGTGTGTGCAAGGTGTTTTTTAGGAGAGGGGAGCAGTAAGCAAAACTGTGTGGGGAAAATGGTATCACTTTGTGTCTTAAGCTGTTCCTCACATTACAAGGAATGAAAGGGTAGAATTTTGGGTTGTAGCATTTCAGATTGCAGGTGCAGGTCATAGTGCTGAATATTCCCCTCTCAGAAAGAGAGACAGACAGACTGCTCACT